TCTCAATCTCAATTTCTTTGCCTGTTAAACTGTAGACTCTTAGACAAAGAGCAGAAGACGTAATTAATTAGATAATTTTGAGCTACTTAACCTACGGGATCATCTTGGCATATATTTCACTTATAATTGCCTGACTTAGGAAAGGCACATAATTCTTGTCTGGAAAAGGCCCCTTGACCTTTGCAAGAAACTTCTAATAGGAAACTTACCAATGGCCTAGTGCGATTTTGATTGCATTCTTCTCTGATGATTATGGTAATAATAGAATCCACCATACTTTGGTAATTTGGTTACCATCAGTGCTGTTGTCCGGCTAGTACTTCTACTCGTATAATAACTGATGATTGATTTATACTTCAGTTTGCTGCTACTTATTACTATTTATAATTTACACATACATTCACATGCCTATTTAACTTATTTGGTTTTGTGAAAAGGCTACAGGTGGTGGGGCATATAAGTTCGCTGATCTTTTCAAGGAAAGGCTGGGAGTCAGTATAGAGAAAGAAGATGAGATGAATTGTCTTGTTGCTGGTGCAAACTTTTTACTCAAGGTAAGATATAATTTCCTGTCTGTTTGGCTATTGCTATATGTCCATACGGAACTTCAATAGACTTAAAATGAAACTTTTCTTGCTTAACTGTTTTACTCTGCAATTTCTCCTATCTTGGCAGCGTTAGATCCAATACATTTTTGTGATTGAGTACCGTGCTTCAAATGTTGCTTTCTTGATTGCATTTCTCTTGGGAGAAGTACAAAGACGTAATTGTTGTTTGTATTTTACTAAAGAAAAATGCAGACAGTCCAGTGTTTTCTTTATTGTGAACTCTGCCTTCACCTCAAAGATCTGATTAATAATAAAAGATTTTAGGCTTAATTGATTTCTGACGTAGTTGCAGGCCTACATCTGCATGTGTGATGCTATTAATGAATGAAATAATTCCTTCATAGGTCTTTGCATCTGCATGTTTGTACTTTTCTTTTACTTGTAGGCTTCTGCATTTCCTAGCTACTATTGAAGGAAACTGACTTTTGAATATATCAGAACGTGAAGCTGGAAAACTAGTCGTCCTAATAAAAAAAATCAATAATATTCTGCTACTGTCTTTGTTATCAATTGTTGATGGAATGTAATGAATTTTGCATTTCTTGATACAGCTGTACATGCGGAATAGGCTTACAGGCTCTCTCAGTCATTTGTTTGACAGATACTTTTATTTTTACAAACATATAATTGCATGGCTCTTTCATTTCCTTTGTTTGCACATGTAGTTTCTTTCTTATAAATATATAATTGCATAGTGGGTATGTACTTAAAGAGGACTCTCTTGGTTGTTCTCATACTTTCATCTCCTTGTCGTTATACTTCCTTTGTCATGTTTCAAGTGTCTACTACTCCATCTGTTTCAAAAAGATTGGCACTATTTCCTTATTAGTCTGTTCCAAAAGATTGACACCTTTCAATATTTCCTTAATAGGAAGCATTTATAGCCACACAAATGCTATGGCAGGTTTCAGACCATAAGTTTCAAAAGATTTACAGCCACATAAATGTTATGGCTTATTTAAGACTACATATCTCAAAAGTCTTCCGTTCTTTATTAAAGTTTGTGCCAAGCCAAACTAAGACAATCTTTTTGAAACGGAGGGAGTATAATGTTTTTCCCATCTTTTGCTTGGTTTAAGTTCTGATTTCACATGGGAAGCACTAATATAATTGTGCTCCAGTATCTGATCAGTAAGTTGTCCAAGAAGATTTCCTTTATGGGGGTTACATTTTTATGCATATTTTATATATCAGTGACCTGTGGAAGCTCACTGCTTCCCTATATATCACGGAAATCACACCATTTTTCATATATATCACTGAAATCAAAACATATAGTATTTCTTCCTTGGCCACAGCTGTTACTTTATTTTGCAGAAGTTATTTCAGGAGTTATCTTCTACTTTATTTTCCATGTGAAAAAATATACTGTATCTGTTGGATGTTCATATTCAGGCAGTTTTGGCCGCAGCTTTTCGTAGTTTAACATAGTTTAGCTTGGGGGTTGTTAGACAATGATCTCTATTATATTGCTGAAGACTGCTTTTTAATAGGCAATCCGTCATGAAGCTTTTACGCATATGGAGGGTCACAAGGAGTTTGTGCAGATAGACCAGAATGAACTATTTCCATATTTGCTTGTGAACATCGGTTCTGGTGTTAGCATGATTAAGGTACTTTGTTTCCTTTCTTGTTTGGTATTATTGGGCTCATAAAAGACTGGAGTAACTGCTAAATGTCTTCTTTTTGCATTATTATAGGTTGATGGGGATGGGGAGTTTCAGCGGGTCAGTGGCACGAATGTTGGAGGTGGTACATATTGGGGATTGGGAAGGTTGTTAACTAAGTGCAAGAGGTACTTTTGATTACGCAGCATATGGACTATGTTCTGCCTTTGCCTCTTTTGCATTTCATGTTTGAATAGAATAAATAGAGAGAGAAGTAGAAAGTTTGAGAATCCATGAGCGCAATCTCTCTCTCTCACAGTTAATCACTCGTTTTCTTTTTCTGATAAGGTGAAGTAAATTTGATCATAAATAGTACCAAGAAGGTAGTGAGAAGTACAAAGGGTAGAAAAAGATAACAGCATCACTATTTCGCACGATGGGACTGTATTCCATTTTTTCGATGAGTGCCAATGGGATACTTTTCCAGATCCGACTAGTTATGGAATATTCCTAAACACTCTAATTATGGGCTAGAAATTACATACTTATAATCGATTCTGTCAATTCTCTGTTACAGTTTTGATGAACTGCTAGAGCTCAGTCAGCGTGGAGACAATAGTACCATAGACATGCTTGTTGGTGACATCTATGGTGGTATGGATTACTCAAAGGTACGTTCTCATGGAGTAGGATCCGTTATCTAGGATTTGTTTTATTGATTATAGTTGAACCTTAGTGGTCTACATAGGGTTTAATCAGGTCGTCATATCAAGATCATGATTTTCTCCTGAGTGCCTGTAGTTATTTTTTCTTTTTGGTTTACTTGGTTCGTATTTGCTATGTATCCTAATGATTATCTACTCAAGATCTATAATATCTGTATAGATTGGACTTTCAGCTTCAACAATCGCTTCGAGCTTTGGGAAGGCCATTTCAGAAAACAAGGAGCTTGAAGATTATAAGCCTGAAGATATCTCTCTATCCCTCCTGCGAATGATTTCATACAATATTGGTCAGGTATTCCATGGTTAAGATCCCTACAATTCTAAAAAGCATTTACTTCAAGTTTGATATATAGGGTTAAGTACATTTTAGTCTATCCTGTTTTGTCCATAAGTGACAGTTTGTGACAAATTTTGTAAATAATTGATCTCATAGAATGGAACTGGAAGAAGAAACCGTTGTTTGCATGCTTCTGTAGTTCACATTCTGGAACATCAAGATTTTACTATTACGTATGACCGACAGCTTGTTTTTTTTTGATAAGATAAATTGTATTAATCAAAAGGGAGGAAAAACTCCCGCATACAAGAAGTATACCAAAAAGTAGAGAATTTACATCAGAACATGATTCTCTACAAAAGACGCCCAATCTTCTACACAAGTAGGGGCTATATGTGTAGACCAAAAAGCGATCAAAGATAAAAGACTACAAATGACCGTCAGCTTGTTAAAAGTTAACCTACAATAAATAAACAAGATGAGTGCCTGAATAATTGAGAATCTGGCAAATTTCTTCCCTTGATTTATCCTTTCAAGTTCTCCATATGTGTATTGTCAGTTGTTCAATTATTAGCTATATTTACTTTATCCTAAAATGGAAAAAAATGGTTAGCTATATTTCTGATTCCTTCCTTTTAATGAATAGCTTCCAGGAAATGAGTCATTGCTCGATGTACTAGTATATGTTGCCTAACCATGAAATTTATCTTTACATTTTCTAGATAGCTTATCTTAATGCACTGCGTTTTGGACTCAAAAGGATATTCTTTGGAGGATTTTTCATACGAGGTCACGCTTACACTATGGACACGATCTCTTTTGCTGTTCAGTTCTGGTGAGAAATTGATAATTTATACTAGGCATCATTATTTAAACACAATCACTAGGTCTTTTATAAGTTCTTTCTTTCCTCCTCCAAAGCATGTGCTTATTTCTTTCATTCATTATTATCTCTTCATTAATATCACCCTTGCTCCAAATCTTTCAATAGGTCCAAGGGAGACGCTCAAGCTATGTTTTTGCGACATGAAGGTTTCCTGGGAGCTCTGGGTGCATTTATGAGCTACGAAAAGCATGGTTTAGATGACCTGATGGTCCATCAGTTAGTGGAAAGATTCCCGATGGGTGCACCATACATTGGAGGGAATGTTCATGGCCCTCCGCTGGGAGATTTGAATGAGAAGGCAAGTATTACTTTAAAGTTTTAAACTCTCGTGCACTAAGTAATGGGTTTGAATGTGATAAGTTTTCTGTATGACTTAGACTGTTATCAGTAGAGTCCTTCAACAATTTGAAATGCCCTGAAAATGTTCCTTAAAGTAACTGATTTGACAATATAGTTCTTGCTCTCGAATGGAGTTTCTAAGCTGCTTCTTATGTCATAGATTTTTGCAAGTAGCTCTGAATGCAAGACATGAAAACTTTTGTTTCCGGAGGAGTATAGTTTCTTTTTGTGTTAAATAAGGAATAAATGCCTAAAGCTACAAAGCATATATTCCGTGGGGTAACCACTTCGTGATAATGATAGCAACGATGGGAGTATGGTTCCCATTTATGACTAAAGATACATACAAGTAGAATAATGGGAAGTGGCATGGGAAAAGGCACATGAAGTTGGCTATATAAGTTGAAGCTTCATATGTTGAGTACTGGTTTCCAGTCACCTTACTAAACTGACTCAGTTAGTCCAATATACCCCGCAATTAATATGAATAATCTTGTTGTTAATGCTGTTTTGAGGATAGGTAAAGAGTTGCTTGTAGAGATGGTTGGAGAAACATTCCTTCTGTAATTAATTGCTTTTTCTCCTCCTCCTCCGTAGTTGCTTGACGAGCTGTATTTGATTTGAATGTGATAAGTTTTCTGTATGACTTAGACTGTTATCAGTTGCGTCCTTCAACAATTTGAAATGCCCTGAAAATGTTCCTTAAAGTAACTGATTTGACAATATAGTTCTTGCTCTCGAATGGAGTTTCTAAGCTGCTTCTTATGTCGTAGATTTTTGCAAGTAGCTCTGAATGCAAGACATGAAAACTTTTGTTTCCGGAGGAGTATAATTTCTTTTTGTGTTAAATAAGGAATAAATGCCTAAAGCTACAAAGCATATATTCCGTGGGGTAACCACTTCGTGATAATGATAGCAATGATGGGAGTATGGTACCCATTTATGACTAAAGATACATACAAGTAGAATAATGGGAAGTGGCATGGGAAAAGGCACATGAAGTTGGCTATATAAGTTGAAGCTTCATATGCTGAGCAAAGGTTTCCAGTCACCTTACTAAACTGACTCAGTTAGTCCAATATACACCGCAATTAATATGAATAATCTTGTTGTTAATGCTGTTTTGAGGATAGGTAAAGAGTTGCTTGTAGAGATGGTTGGAGAAACATTCCTTCTGTAATTAATTGCTTTTTCTCCTCCTCCTCCTCCGTAGTTGCTTGACGAGCTGTATTTTATTTGAATGTGATTAGTTTTCTGTATGACTTAGACTGTTATCAGTAGCGTCCTTCAACAATTTGAAATGCCCTGAAAAAGTTCCGTAAAGTAACTGATTTGACAATATAGTTCTTGCTCTAGAATGGAGTTTCTAAGCTGCTTCTTATGTCATAGATTTTTGCAAGTAGCTCTGAATGCAAGACATGGAAACTTTTTTTTCCTGAGGAGTATAATTTCTTTTTGTGTTAAATAAGGAATAAATGCCTAAAGCTACAAAGCATATATTCTGTGGGGTAACCACTTCGTGATAATGATAGCTTAAAATTTGTTCTCCTCTCATTAACACTTTTTTATTTCAGATATCTGTGGTGTAACCACTTCGTGATAATGATAGCTTAAAATTTGTTCTCCTCTCATTAACACTGTTTTTTATTTCAGATATCTTGGATGGAGAAATTTGTACGAAAGGGAACTGAAATCACTGCTCCTGTTCCAATGGCTCCACCAGCTACTACCGGCCTTGGAGGCTTTGAAGTTCCATCATCTAAAGGAGTTCTTCGACCTGATGCGAGCAAATTAAATGTTGGGGTACTGCATCTGGTCCCATCTTTGGAAGTTTTCCCACTTTTAGCAGATCCAAGAACGTAAGTGATTACTGAAAGATGATCTTTCTGGCAGATCTTTTGCATATTTTGTGTGGTTCAACAAAAGGTGCAGCTCTTTAGTTGAGCTGGTCTTTCATAATTCCTAGTTGCAGTCGTTGTCTTTCCGTACATTCTGGTTATTTTTTGTTACTTTTCTTACTTCTAGTTATCTTCTTTGTAATTTTGTTCCATTTCTTTGTTTCCTTCGAAGGGGCTGTCACTCTTTATTTATCTTGGTTTCCTGACTTGGTTAGCTCGCAGAGTACTCTCATATTAAAAGTTCTAGAAATGCCCCATTCTTTTCCAAATCTTTCATCGTTTGTGTAGATGTAGAGGGTGCTTGGCAGGGCAAAGATTGTATTACTATTTCTGGGCACTACTGGTTTGAAGAATATTGTGTTTTTACGTATTTCTGGAGCAATGGTTTGAAGAATATTGCGTTTTTTACCGAGTTTTGAATTGGTCTTTTGCAGATACGAGCCAAATACCATAGACCTCTCAGATCACGGTGAGCTAGAGTAAGTTAAATTACACACTAAGAACTTGCTTTATTTTTCTATAGTAGCCAAACAAGCCTGCTTTCTATTATTGTTGTATTTCTTTTTCTTAGACTAAAATTTGTCTGTGCTGTAGGTACTGGTTCACTGTATTATCTGAGCATTTGTCGGACCTTGTTGACAAGGTAAAACATTGACCATTTAATCATGTCAAAATCCCTGTTTCAGCCCAAGAGAGGAAGACTGCAGTACTTTTTTCAAAATGCCTCCACGAAAGCTCCTCTGGTCAAACACAGTGGTAGCTCAAGGGGGAGGCTTGATTTGTACTATCTTTTTAGAAAAAAGATGTAAAGGTTGACTTGAAAGTTCTGATAGGGTTAAAGCCTTACCTGAAATCTTTCTTGTTCAGGCAAAAACTAGGTTTGAGAGGTTCAAATTGAAGATTTCCATCTCTTCTTGTCCCTGCCCCTAGGTCGAGGAACTAATTTGTGCTTCAACTGTTCATTCAATTTCATAAAATGTCATACCCAATCTTTTGATTGTTTAGAACAATAAAGGGAAATCATTGTCATTTGTTTTGAATTGTGTGATGTGCATCACTATTTATATTTGTTCTATATTAACTTGCAAAGTCTCCCATATTTTCATGGTCTGAGAAGCTAATACTTGAATTTCAGGCAGTGGCTAGTGAGGGTGGAACTGACGATGCAAAAAGAAGGGGTGATGCATTTGCAAGGGCATTTTCAGCACACTTGGCTAGGTATTATTTGTATTCCCTGTTCCATATCCATCTCTAGATGTTTTTTTTTCCTATTGTTATGTAGGCCTAATCCTATAATAACTATGTTAATTAATCTTGTAATAATTTTTGTTCTTCTGTAGGACATTTGAGAGTTAGTTGATCTTATATAATACAGTTACGACTATCACCACCATCCACTGCCAACCATCTCTGCTAGATTTTTGAGTGTGTTTCATCAAAGAAAACAATTTATATAACACCATGTTAATTAATATATTTTGTATTATTTTGTGGATATAATATTTATTTGTAATTTGTGTGAATTCTATAGTAGTTTTTAAACTAAGATAAACTACCCACATTCAGATACTGAAAACGCAGTCTTATTTATTCAGTGTTTAGGTCTAAATGCTATAATATTCAAATGTCTATTCAGATTAAGATATCTTAATCTTAATGAAAATAAATGGGGCCTAAGGCTATATCTCTAAGATAAAGAGCGGAACTACTTCACTCTAAGCTCATAAGATAATTACCTTAACTCTAGATCTTGAAAAGAGAAATTCAAAAATGGAAGAACTAACTTTGTTAGTGAAAAATCAGGAGGGTATAGAGCTAATAGGAGTGTTACCACTTCCCAATAGTATTTGTAAAGTTGCTTTAAAAGACTATCTATTTTGTTAACAGATTGATGGAGGAACCTGCAGCTTATGGAAAGCTAGGACTCGCCAACCTTTTGGAGCTAAGAGAAGAATGCTTGAGAGAGTTTCACTTTTTTGATGCATACCGAACCATTAAACAAAGGTATCCTCATATGGAAGGACATATTCTTGTTCTATTATCTTGGAAGCAAATATGCTTATCGTACCAGCTCCATTGAATATCTTACAGGGAGAATGAAGCTTCACTTGCAGTTTTACCTGATCTTCTGCTGGAGCTTGACAGCATGACTGAGGTATGTCTTCTCTCATATATTTCCTTTGCTACTCTTTTTTTCCCTTTCTCCTCCGTTGAAGTAGGTTAGGTAGATCATTAAATATATGCTTTGTATTTTTTTTTATTTGCTAATACGTCTAGTTTCTATCTTGTAGGATATGAGACTACTTACACTAATCGAAGGTGTTCTTGCTGCAAATATCTTTGATTGGGGATCACGTGCCTGTGTTGATCTCTATCACAAAGGAACAATTATTGAGATCTACAGAATGAGTCGCAAGAAGATGCAAAGACCATGGCGGGCAAGTGAAAGGAAAAAATATATTAATGTTGTTTTTTCATTACTGCTAGAGAAGCATTTGAATGCCATTCTTGTGTTCAGGTGGATGATTTTGATGCTTTTAAAGAGAGAATGTTAGGGTCTGGTGAGAGAAAGCCTCAGCCACATAAAAGAGCACTGCTTTTTGTTGACAACTCGGGTGCGGATATTGTTTTAGGGATGCTTCCCCTTGCAAGGGAACTTCTCCGGCGTGGAACTGAAGTATGGTTTGCCTTTTAATGAATATAAATTTTAGAATGTTTTGCCTTTAAATGAATCTAAATTTTTGAATGTGTTGGCTTTAAATGAATCTAAATTTTTTAATGTGTTGCCTTTAAATGAATCTAAATTTTTTAATGTGTTGCCTTTAAATGAATCTAATTTTTTTAATGTTCTTAACAAAAAAAATGTTTCGCTTCAGTTGCTTCATGGTAAATTACCTTATATTTCCATTATCTAAGCTTTATTAAATTAGAGATACTATTCCATATCTGATAATGTTCAAGATAAATGTTTATCTAACATGTAATAACTACTTTCAATTGCTACCTTGTTTGCTCTGTATGATCCTGTCCTATCTCCTATCGTTCGTATATGCTGAACTTTTTAGGTTCCAAAATTCATATATTCAGAAATTTTATGCAGGTTGTGCTGGTAGCGAACTCACTTCCTGCACTAAATGATGTTACTGCAATGGAGTTGCCTGATATTGTTGCTGAGGCTGCTAAGGTATGTTGATTTTCAAGAAATTGCTTCACAAAGTATAGGAAAAAAATCAGAGCTATAACCATAGTTTTTTTTCTTCTCACTTTCTCTCTGTGTATGGAATTGTATTTTTTAATAAAGTTCTCTCTCTTGGTTATCAAAATGTTTTCCAAGAAATTGCTATTAGTTGTAATGAGACTTATAGCTTCTCTTGCCGAACTCCTTCCCCTTTTTGGAGAAAGAATGCTTTTTTTTAACCTTGTTCTCTAAAAGAAAATGAATCTTTGTACTATTAAGGCATATTTGGCATGGGAATATTTGTAGTATAATTTTTTAAAGCTCTCTCTCCCTTCCCCTCTTTTCTTTATACATAATACCTCATTAGCTCAGTAATATTGCTTTGGCCTATAGCACTGCGATATTCTTCGAGGGGCAGCTGAAGCAGGAGGCTTACTTGTGGATGCTATGAGTAACATCCAAGATGGTTATAAGGAAGATACGCCTTCCGTTCCTCTGATGGTTGTGGAGAATGGATGTGGCAGTCCATGCATAGACTTGAGGCAAGTGAGCTCAGAGTTAGCAGCTGCAGCCAAAGATGCGGATCTGGTATAGTGCTCCGCTCCTTTCTTTTATACCCTAAATGTACAAACTATATCATTCAGAAAATAAGCACAACTCATTAAGGATGTGCTTTTTTTTTTCTTTTCCTGGCGATGCAGGTAATTCTGGAAGGGATGGGCCGATCTTTGCATACCAACTATAATGCAAAGTTCAAATGTGATGCTCTAAAGGTAATGATTATACCTGTCTCTTAAAACGTTTTGAAGATGGTTTCTGCATATTTTCATAGAGCTAGATCTCGTGGATATCTAATGGAGATTCGATAAGTACCTTCTTCCATGAATAAGTTAAACTGAGCGTTGTTTCATATTTTATTTAGGCATGATCTCCTATTAGTGGCTTATTGAAACAGATTAAAAACTCAAACATTTGTTACCTTGAATACTGTTAAAAGTATAAAGCGCTCTCTTTCTTTGACATGCTGTATGTGATTTTGCAGCTTGCTATGGTGAAGAATCAGCGGTTGGCACAAAAGTTGGTTAAAGGGAATATTTATGATTGTGTATGCAGATATGAACCAGCTAGCTAAATCCTTCCCTTTTCATGTAGTTCTATTAATTTCTGCGCACAGAACAGTCACCCCATACTACGGTTTGAGGGCGAGGCGTCAACGACGATGATCAGTGGTCACATTTTCTGAGATGCTAAAGAGCATCATTATAGATGTAAACGAATTCGTTATTTGAATAGATTTTATAATGCATTAATCGTTTTATTGTAGATTGTGTTACTAAATCCAATGGAAGTCTTAAGATATTCTTTTCATCTCGCCTTTTGTTTTCTGTTTCTCTATTTTTTCTTTAGTAAGGAGGGACATTGAATTTGTGGAGTTAATGAAATTCGGACTGGTTAAGTTCGATCGCTTGGAAGAATAATTAAATGACTGTACCGAGACAAAATGTATTTATTCTCGTAACATATGGCTTTGGCCGTTTTTAAAAAATAATTCTTTATTAGGTACTTTTAACTTAAAATAGGAGTAGTTGGCATTTCTCCAAAATCATCAAACCATGAAACCAAAGATAGTCACTTTTGTCCATTTCTTAATGTGAACTTTGGTGAGTGTATCTTATTGGTGAATTCATTGGTAATTATGTTTGGTGTATTATCCGTTTTCTTTAGAAAAAACTGAAAGGGCAGAATTATTTACCGCAAAGGAATTACCCCTTCTTTTTATCCATATCTACTGAATTTTATCGATCAGTATTCATAATGTTAAGTAACTGGAATGCGGCAAGTCAATTCAGTACAAAAGCGAGCTACCATTTTGAGTCATTAGAATTTATAATAAAAGTACTGGCTTTCCTTGTATCAAGTGGTATGATTCTCGCTTTGGGTGCGAGAGGTCCCGAGTTCGATTCTCGGAATGCCCCCTCAAAAGTTTTACTTTTGTTTTTAATTGTTAAAATTCATATCTTGCAAGGTGGAAAAAAGAGCAAGGACAGCATTTTTTTGAGTCAGAGCGGTATTTATTTCTCTTGTAGGCTTTGCCTGAATGCAAAAGCTGTTTGCAAGTTTTCATCTTATATTTGTCTGGAGCTATTTTGACCAGTCAAGAAATTAATCACAACAGCAGCAGTCAATGTCAGAAATCATGGACTCATGGTATATATATATACCAATATAAGTTGAAAGGAAAAAGACAAAACACAAGTTTGAATGAAACGCAAAAGACAAAGCTCAATCGAGGGAAGAAGCAAAGAGCAGAATCGTCTAGAAATCTTGGCTTATCCGGAAAGCATCATTTGTAAACGGAGAATCTCTTGCGAAGAAAAGGAAAGCATGAAAAAGATGAAGGTTTAATTCTTACTCCAAACAAGAGAGGAAGTGAAGTACTTTGTATATTTCAACATAAAAGAGAGCATATTTCTTTCTGTATTCTGACATTTAAATTTTCATCCCAGGAGCCTTTAAAACAAGAGAAATGTATATACTTATTCGCTCCAAAAAAATAATAGCCGACAAAATATATATTTTTTTGTATATATGTGTATTATATATATATATTATATACTTTTTCCATTAGTTTCAGCCGACCGGCAAGTATTGTGTTTTGCCTTTAAAAGAATGGGGGGAAATGTACTCGAAGGGAATCATAACATACTTAAGTCCTAATTAACAAAATGTATATATAAACCAAATTATCTCTACGAAGATATACTTTTTTTAAAAATAAAACAACCTCAAGGTGATACCAAAAGTATAGATACAAGGTCATAATTGAACTAGCCTGGCACTTACAAATATTGATTAACAAGAACTCCTCAAAATATTTTAAAAGTTTGAGAAAATTGTAATCAATAATAAAAAAAAAACTCTTTGCTCCTCGAATAATGACACCTTCACTTAAATTAATTTTGGTATGGGCTGATCTTTTCTTTCTCTTCTTTTTATTTCTTCCAAAAAATCGTCGAAACTTTTCCCTTCTTTGAGTTTCAACTGAAGCAACTAGCTCTTCTTTAGTCAAAACTATCTTTATTCTCATACTATTATTTCCTTTTTTCTCCATTTCTTTTTCGGCCTTGAAAATTTCAGTTGTTTTTTCCTCTGTTTCTTTGTTGTGAAACTTAAATAATTGAAACAATATTAATTAATGACTTTTGGCCAATCTTTTCTTTGTGGATGTATTGATTGATTCTGAATTTTCAGTTCTTCAAGTCAGGGATGTTATCCAACTTCAAAATCAGAACTAATTAGCTAGTTGTAGTAAAAGTCTTATTAATTAGTATAAATATTACGAAGTGTTACTGTTAGTTAGTTAAGGTCGTTACTGTTAGTTAGTTAGGTAGCTGCACTGTTAGTTAGTTAGTCTGACAACTGTAAATTAACGGATCCAGCTCAAGGTTATTAGTGGAGTTAGTTTGTATATATACCATACATTGTAAATGAATAAAAACAGAAATTATCATTTTTCAGATATTTCTCCCCTTCTCTAGTTAGTTGTTCATATGCTCTGTATTTCGCAGAAAGAGGATTGAGCTCATTGCTCATTCATCAATGGCAGATCGCACAGATTTTAGCATGGTATCAGAGCCACCGATACTCTTAATCTTTGAGGATTATCTCTATCTAGGTAATCTGTTTCTTCTTCTCAATTAGCTCAATTTCATTTCTCTGTTCATCAATGGCGGAAGCTACAATTCCGTATACTCATCCTCTATACCTTGGGCCATCGGATACTCCTGGAGTTATTCTGATTCATGTGAAGCTTACAGGATCAGAAAGTTACAGTTTATGGAGTAGGACGATAAAAATTGCTCTTCTAGGAAAGAGGAAGTTAGGGCTTGTGACTGGGACTTGTACAAAGGAGACATTCACAGCTGAATTGAATGAGCAATGGGAAACTTGTAATGCCATTGTCTTATCGTGGCTCATGAATATAATTTCCACTGAACTTTTAAGTGGAATTGCATATACTTCGAATGCACACCTTGTTTGGGAAGAACTGAGGGAAAGATTTGATAAGGTGAATCGAATGCGCATTTTCCAATTGCACAGAGCCATTGCCAATTTGACATAAGGAACTGACTCAGTCTCAAGCTATTTTACTAAGTTGAAGAGTCTATGGAATGAATATGATGCATTAGTGCCAACCTCAAACTCGAGAGAATACAAGGAGCATCTCCAACAAGAAAGGCTTCTGCAATTTCCTAGTAGTTTGAATGATTCATATGATCAAGCTAGACGATAGATCCTCTTGAAGACTAATAAACCCTCGCTGAACCAAGCTTATGCCATGGTGATAGAAGATGAGTCTCAACAATCTCCGGGGCTAGGTTTAGTAAACGAGAAGAATGATCCAATGGCTATGCAGGTAGGAAGAAATCAAGGATACAAAGGCAAGAAGCCCTTTATGCAATGTGAGCACTGTGGCCTAAAAGATCACACTAAGGAGAGTTGCTATAAGATTGTTGGATATCCTGAAGACTTCAAGGCAATGAGGAAGTCTGGTAACAACAATGGAGGTCAATATGGTCATGGCAATGGGGGTAAGTTTGGCTTTGGACATGGATCTCACCAACACTTTACTACAACCAACAATGTGCTTGGAAACACTGATGCTCATTCTCAAGGATCTTCATCAACTACTGATGCACTAGGAGGAATAACTGGGAAAGCACCATATTTCACGGAGGAGCAATACAAACAGATCCTTGAGCTACTGAACAAGGATACAACTTCTGACTGTCAAGTCAACATGGCAGGTATAACTAGTGATTCTTTGTCTAAAGATCATTTAGACGAGTGAATTGTAGATTCTGGTGCCAGTCATCACATAATGACTTCCAATTATAGACTGATGAATGACAACAAAACTACTAGAACTTCTAGTAATGCAGTTCACTTACCTAATGGAGATAAGATTCCTATTGCACTTACTGGTTGGGCTGCCATATTTGGAAATAAAGCAATACATGATGTCTTTTATGCTCCAGGATTCAAATTTAACCTCCTCTCAGTCTCCAAACTAACCAAGGAACTCTGGTGCTCAGTGAATTTTTATCCTGACTTTGTATTATTTCAGGACCTCTACAGTGACAGGGTGAAGGGGATTGGTAAGGAGACAGGAGGCTTGTACATATTCAGAGGGGTCAATGGCATCAATAAGGCACAACAAGGCATAGTGGTTGCTGCAGCAGTAAAGGAAGATTGCAGGCTATGACATCAAAGACTTGGACACCCATCCCTTTCAGCCATGAAGAATCTCACCTTGCTAAGTAAGAAAGTAAATAGTGAATCATTGAATAATTGTCTAGTCTGTCCATTAGCCAAACAAACTAGACTGATGTTTCCTAACAGTACATCTAGAGCTGAGGCTCCTTTCTCTCTCTTATTCATATGGATCTTTGTGGACCTTATAAGATTCCTACTTTTGACAAAAAGTACTATTTTTTAACTGTTATTGATGATTTCAGTAGATATGTTTGGATTTATCTACTACAACTTAAATCTGAAACTATAGTTGCAATTAAGAATTTTTTGCTTATGGTAAAGAATCAATTTGGTAAGGTGGTTAAAATCTTGAGATCAGACAATGGCACAGAGTTTTTCAACTCTCAGTGCAAGGACTTACTGCAGAGTCTAGGAATTCTGCATCAGAGTAACTGTGTTCATACTCCACAACAGAATGGTGTTGTGGAGAGAAAGCACATATATATTCTGGATGTGGCAAGAGCCATAAAGTTTCAGTCAAAATTGCCCATTAGATATTGGGGCATGTATGTTACAACTGCTGTGTATTTGATAAACAGACTTCCTTTATTAACACTTCTAGGAAAGAGCCAATATGAAGTAAATGCAAAAAAAACCACCATCATTAACACATCTAAAGGTGATAGGATGTCTATGTTATGCAACAGTCATTCCAAAAGGGGATAAATTTGCAGAAAGAGCAAAGGCAGCTGTGCTCATGGGATATTCTGAGAGACAAAATGGATATATTCTGATGGAACTAGCTACAAGACAATTCTTTGTCAGTAGAGATGTGGTCTTCAAGGAATCAAAATTTCCTTTTGGTCAAACTGCTATTGAAACTGATTTAGAGGATCTTAGTTTCTTAGAACAACCTAACTATGATGTCCCTACTTCAGAAGTCAGTCATATCAATGAGGAACAGGATCAGAATGCAGGAGTACAAAATGCAGAAGCACAAGAAGCAGCCACAGAAGAAGGGAATGTGATCTCTCAACCAATTGCAAAAGAAACAAATCCCATGAACACTATGACTGATCCATCATCTGACAGCATGCAAGCAGAAGGACCTCAACCTCCCATCAAGAAGTCAATTAGAGAACCTAGAGAGCCCATCTGGATGAAGGACTACATAGCACATGGGAAGTCAAATAACAGATATCCTATAGAAAACTATTTGTCTTATGAAAGAACTACTCTCGTATACCATTCCTACTTAGCAAACTTTTCTAATCTGGTAGAACTTCAAAACTTTAGGCAGGCCGTGAAGGATACAAGGTGGATAGAACTATGAAACAAGAGGTCAAAGCACTAGAAGACAACATAACATGGGAAGTAGTTGACTTACCTCATGACAAATATACTGTAGGGTCCAAGTGGGTGTATAAAATTAAGTATAAAGCTAATAGTGAAGTGGAAAGGTTCAAGGCTAGACTTATTGCAAAGGGATATAGTCAACAAGAAGGACTTGATTACCATGATACATTTTTACCAGTAGTGAAAATGGTCATAGTGAGATCAGTAATAGCCTTAACTGTTTCCAAAGGTTGGAACCTATATTAAATGGATATTTACAATGCCTTTTTACAGGGAAATCTCTGTGAAGAGGTGTGTATAGACATGCCTGAAGGCTTCAGAAGACAAGGGGAGCAGAAGGTATACAAGCTGCTTAAGTCCTTATATGGGCTTAAGCAAGTTTCAAGACAATGGAATATCAAGTTGTCTGATGCTTTAACAGAGGGGGGGTTTTGTGCAAAGTAACCATGACTACTTCTTGTTCACCTTAAGAAAGGGTACATGTCTAGTGATTATCCTGGTGTATGTTGATGATCTACTCATAACTGGTAATGATAAGACACTGATAACTGAAGCAAAACATGTCCTTCATCATAAATTCAAGCTGAAAGACCTAGGTGAGCTTAAGTATTTCTTAGGGATTGGAGTGCTAAGGTCCAAGGAAGGAATAATCTTAAACCAAAGAAAGTATGTCTTAGAACTCATATCCAGTATGGGGCTCAATGCAACCAAGCCAGCTGCAACTCCTTTGGAAACAACCCTAAAGCTCACCACACTTCAGTATGATGCAACAACTGGAGCTAAAGGTGATGAAGTTCTGAATAATGTTGGTTCATACCAAAGACTGATTGGGAAGATGATGTATGTCACTACCACCAGACCAAACATTAGTTATGCCATCCACACACTAATTCAGTTCATGCAGCAGCCAAAGAGATCTCATTGGGAAGCTGCACTAAAGGTAGTAAGGTATCTGAAAGGATCTCCTGGCCAAGGCATTTGGTTGAGATTAGAAGCTCCTACTACATCATTAATTTGTTGGTGTGATTCAGACTGGGCAGTCTACCCTAACACAAGAAGATCTGTCACTGGTTATGTGATCAAACTTGGTGCATCCCTAGTTTTATGGAAATAAAAAAAGCAGCAGACAGTATCTAGGAGTTCAGCAGAAGCTGAATATAGAAGCATGGCCTCAGCTGTAGCAGAAGTTACTTGGTTGCTAGGCTTGTTCAAAGAGCTAGGAGTAGAGGTCAAGATACCTATTGCAGTTATGAGTGACAGCAAGTCGACTATACAGATTGCAGCTAATCCCATTTTTCATGAACGTACTAAGCATATCGAGATAGATTGCCACTTCATTAGAGACAAGATTAAAAATGGAATTGTGTAGACAATCTATGTGAACACTAAGGATCAGTTGGCTGACTTGCTTACCAAAGGACTAAGTCAAGTTCAACATAATCATCTCTTAGGCAAGCTTGGTGTGATTAACATCTTACACCCTGCAGCTTGAGGGGGAGTATTACGAAGTGTTACTGTTAGTTAGTTAAGGTCGTTACTGTTAGTTAGTTAGGTAGCTGCACTGTTAGTTAGTTAGTCTGACAACTGTAAATTAACAGATCCAGCTCAAGGTTGTTAGTGGAGTTAGTTTGTATATATACCATACATTGTAAATGAATAGAAGCAGAAGTTATCATTTTTTAGATATTTCTCCCCTTCTCTAGTTCGTTCTTCATATGCTCTGTATTTCGCAGAAAGAGGATTGAGCTCATTGCTCATTCATCAATGGCAGATCGCACATATTTTAGCAACAAATGTACAATTATTATCTGGTTATTTTAGTTCTCCATTTTGTCACATTATTAGGACAATATTTCGATGACTTTCTTTTAATTTGAAACTAGAATATAAGAGCTTCACTTCTGCAGCTTTCAATATAATTATTATCTATAGTTCTTTCTTTCAAGTTTTTTATTAATATATTTTAAGTACATTACAATTGAACTGTTGAATGTCGTTTTTAGAAGGATTCTTCCTGATCTCTCTACTGGTTTACATTTTTATCTTTTTTCCCTTTTGGGTTTTAAATTATTTTGTAGTTTAAGTGATCGATCAGTTACGTACCCAGTGTAATCATGACATTCGCAATCTTAATTAAATAATTAGAAAATTGATTGTTAAAAAGTGAAATAGGACCATTGATCCTTCAAATTGATTGCGTGTATCCACAGAGATTCCAAGGAGGGATCGCATCGCTACCTATCATAATAACTAGATCTAAGAAATAAGAAAAAGCGTAGCGAATCGTCATCGTAAAAGAATGTAGTGCTTTGACCTCCAAAGTCAAATTATATCACACAATGTGAAGAAAAAAAAAACATTCTTTTATCAAATGACCCATGTTAATATATACTTGAATGTAGGATAAAGTGCTAGTTGCCATAACTTACATTAACTAACTAAAAATACTGCTACCAGTGTATTACTGTATTAGCAAATATTGTTGAGTTGTCCCAGATAGGTGAGATTTGGGGTCCTTGGTCTCCTTATATGGTGTTGGATAATCCTCACCTCATAAGTTAGCTTTTGGATTGAAATGCGCCCAATGTCCATTTTATCAAATATATTGTGTGAGTTGACGAACATGAGTATTATTTCATTTTAAATATTTCCTGTGGCATTCTTTTCAGTTAATCTCAAAAAAATAATATTTTTTTATTTAGTATAGTAAATTAACTTAATACTTCTCATTTTATTCTTAATGAGATAATTTATAACCATACAAATGTTTATGGCTTATTTTAGACCATAAATCTTAAATTTTTTCATTTTTTTCTTAAATTTTGTGTCGGTTCAAATACCATCACATAAATTGGGAGATGGGAGTAACTAATAAAGCAAAAGCGCTGATAGTATTTGGATGAAAAATTACTCAAAATTAAATACATGCCGAAAGCTTAACTCAAAACTGTGTACAACACAAAAACAACGCAATATTGTCATATGTTTCCGATATAATGAAGACTCCATTACCTCCAGAAAGGAAGAATCAAATTCTGCCAGAGCCAAGGATACTACATAATTTATAAATCAATTGTTCAAGGAAAAGAACAGAAACCAAAAGAATCATACAATTATTCCACTTAAGTTTTGCAGTTCCAATCACAAGAAAAGAATGCATTCTACACATCATCATTTACCCTCAGCTCTTTTATCTTTTCTCAGCCAAAAACCTTCAAACTCAAAGTATATTAGTTACTCTTATTAGAAAGCACGTTCATTAATTAACATCTTAATTTATTTCTCTCAATAGATTAATTAATGAGGTCGGAATTTTAAACTGCAAGATTGGCAAGTAACTTCCATGCAATTAGTAGGATCAATCCTACGAGTTGCTCTCTCTTTCAACTTTTCTGCCCTTTCAACTTCCTCTTTAGCTCTCTCCCACATACTCCTGGCACGTGCGAATTCTGACTGAGCCATTTCTATCTCTCGCCTAGTAAGCTCTCTCACACGCTCCGCATAAGCTTTCTCTATTGCAGCCAACCGGATTTGCTCAGCAGCTTGCCATTTCAGTGCCTCAACGTAGCCGGAGTCGAACCGGACGTCGGTGTAGTGATCCTGATGATTTACTAGGACACCTTGATCTGATGTTGGTGGTTTTATAGGTCTTACGCTAATTGAAAGTTGAAGGTCCAAAGATGGAGCTTCTGTTGATTCTGATGATCGGATATTATAGTTTGCTGAAGAATCTGACGGCCAGGAAGAGGAAGCTACGGCATTTGGATGATTAGGTAGAAAGTGCAGCTCCTTCTGTTGCTCCTCCATTGATCTTGTTGAAATGGAATAATATGTTGCTGTCAAGAAGTAATGTAAGAGTTAGGATACCTATACACATAATTACATATATAAAAATATTTAGACAATATGTTACTTTCAAGTTTGCGGGTAAATATCTATGATAAGTATTAATATTCGTATTGGTGATATCATAAAAATGTTATTGCTAATATGTCTTAATAGGTTAAACGATAACAACAACATATCAGGTATAATCTCACATAGTGAAGTCAACTTAAATGATAATTAATACCGAATATATTTATATTATCAAAGTATACAACTTAAATAATCCACCTAGTAAACTTAAGTTAGGCGGACCCCTTCCGTAAATTAAAATCATCGCTGAAAATAAGTACTCCTTCTATTCCGTTTTGTGCGAAGGTATTTGACTGTGTGTGGAGTATAGAAAGGAAAGATTGATTTTAAAAAACTAGTGGTCTAAAATATGCTATGGACATTTCAGTTGCTATAAAATCATGTCATTAATTAAGGATAAGTAAAAAGTTTAAATAAAATTATTTTTAATTATATAAAAAGTTGTCATTCTTTTTAGGATTGAGTAAAAAGGGAAGTGTGTTATATAAAATAGAATTGAAAGGGTAGTTCTTAACAAATATGATTCAACTTTACAAAAATATATAGGTATCTGGGCGCCCGCCTTGAGTTTAATCATAAGCAAGCCTTAGATGCTTATGCAAAATTCATGTAATAACCAAAGTATTGACTTTCAGAAAAGACATACAGTAATCAATTGGTAAGAATCTTTGTAAAAGGCTTGCAAAAAAGAAAAGCCCTAAAATTCCCACCTTTTTTGCTTCTATTTTTGTAGCTTACCCAGAAAGAAAGGTTAAAGAGGATATCTATCATCATCTAAATATACTCTGGCTTGAGTGCCAACTATGGATGTAGATTTTGCTAGGTCAAATGATGAAATCCAAAGTGTATTCTTTATTTTATTTTTTTCCCTATCTGTGAAAATGAAGTTGATACTCCATCCATACCAATTTATACAACGCTCTTTCCATTTTGAGATCTGAAGTAGTTTACCACGACTATCCTACTAATAATATTATTTTATACAAGTTTCGAATATTTCTAGAAATAATCTAGCCAACTAATTAATCAAATCTAAGTTGATATGTTGTTTTATGTTCCAGCCAAACTTTTCTATTACTTTACCATTTTCTTTTATTGCTATTTATATAATAGTATAGAAATACTGGTCAAGTAGTACCTTTAAGTGCATTGCACCATTAATATAGTGTCACTAAAATGGGATATAGAGAGTATTAATGAAACTACAAATTATGATAGAACGGGCATTAAACTATTATAAATGCAGTTGGAATTCTAGGATGTGCGTCACTTGATAACCATATTTTAGCCTAAAAGAAGAATGTGGAATTTACCTTGTTTACAAATGAATAGAAGTAAAAGTGGTTGGGAAAAGAAGGGAGTTGGGGATGGGAAAGTAGGGTTATAGATGCAAAATGACTAAAGTAAAAATATATTATCTTATATCCATCTAGTAAACAATTTTTTTACTAATTAGTACAGTTTAACCGGTTATATAAGGATAATATCAACAGCCAAATTCTTTAAATTAGGTTGAATTTGTATGGACTCCTTCTGTTTATAGAGTATATACATGGGGTTAGCATACACTTCAAAGAGATTATTTGAAATCCCGGTAACTACAAGTGAACTGCAATATTTTTAATGTAAAAGTACACTAGGTACTGTGTGATTAAGATAAGAATAAGAAAACTACTCCTAAAAAACAAACCAAGGCAGAGAAGAAAACTAGTAAAAATAAAGACAAATCAGGGAGAAGGTCCTCTTATTTCAGTTGCACATCATTTCAAGAATTTTAAGTTGCGACGAAATAGATTGACAATTAAGAAATGGATCTCCACACTAACTTTACCGCATTAGATTATTGAATCAATTCAAAAATGAATAATCCAAAAATATAAGTCTCATGTTCACTAAGAGGATATATTAATTATTACATTAAGAATAACTAGTGATTGTACCATGTTCACTTTTCCAAGGTTAAGTAGTTACATAATACATGCAACCTTTTGATACTAATTCCACTGATATCATCAGAATCAGACGTATGAGATTCATAATTACTTCACCAAAAATATTCAAAGGAGAAAAAGGCAATCTAACGTTGGCTTTGTCACGTTACTAAACTACGGGTTAACAAAAAACAAAGATTTTCTGATTAAACTAGTCTTTATATGATCCTAAGCTATAAATCTTTCCTTTGACCTAGCTAGTTGAAGAAGACATGTTCAAACCAAAGAAAGTCAAAAGGAGAGAGTAGCTAACTAATTAAACGCCATTTCCTGTATTTTTCAGTAAGAATTTCCTCTCTTATTTTCTCTGTTTGAAGAGCTTCGTTATATATACGGCTAATAGGACTCAGATATCATTAGCTTGCCTAGTCTCTTGCCTATATTCGAAGGTGTAGTATCTTATGTATTAGTAGAAGGACCTGAAAATGCATGCATTTGGGTACTATTGGTCAAGATTTATACCAGTTGAGAGGGGAGATGAAAAGTTTTTGAACAAAAGGAATTAAGCAGAAGAAATGGGAACTGATTAAAAGAATTTGGAAGATCAGAACAGAAGACATGACCGGTAACTAATTAAGTTCATACATACCCCCAGGAAAAATATATTTATGTAAACTGTTTTAATGATTTCGATAAGAAAGACAGACACATACAGAGATCGAGTGCCCAGAGGAAGAGAGAGAAACTTAGCGTATTATTGGAAGAGAGCTAGAGCGTACGTGATGGTGATGAGAATAAAAAAACTTTGACATAAAATTATACAAAGATCAATCATCATAGCTAGCTAGGAATATAATGCACAAGAATACAATCCAAAAACACTGAGAGATATCTTTTCAAACAATTATTTGATCTAAGCACGAAAAAGGCCAAGATGAAATGGAAGAAGAGGAGTAGTGTACCTTATGAGTTTCAGTATTCAAAGAATTGGAATAAAGAGAGAGAGAGAGAGAGAGAGAGGTACTTTTTGTTGTGCTTCAAAGCTCGAAATGATCAGTCTGTGGTTTGTCTGTGGAGGAAGCTAGGAATTAGGTATATGAACAAATAAATGAAGTCAATAATTGGGGAAGCCCTAAAAAAAGGACTTAAACTTTTTAGAGGAGGATGTTATGGAGATAATGAATGAAGCAGAAGCAGAAGCAACAAAGAGAAAACGACTTTAGAAACCGATAGATTATTTTGACAACAAGACTGGGGTGGGGTTGGGTGTGCCATATATATATGAAAGTAAGTATATTTGTGATATGTATATATACATACAGAAATTACAGAAAGCCAGATCACATGGATGGTTTGCTAGTGGGAGAGACAAAGCCATTACCTACTTGCATGGGTTAAAGTGGACGTACACAAACCACCAAAAATGTCATTACAAATTTCAGGAAAAAAGGTGAATTTGTACAATTTCATCTGTGGGTCACTTCATCTTCCTCCTTAGCCCCTCAATATATATACATACCTTGTACGGAGTTGAGTTATATACACAAATAGTATAAAATAGATCAGTATATTATTATTATTATTATTAATATAGGAGTAGTTTATTTTGTGGTAAATCGAATTACAATGCTTTTCATATATAGTATTTATAAGTGGCCTAAAGTATAAATACTTATTACACGGCATAAAGCTCACGGTGTATATTCCCTCTCCCTCTCGTCTTCAGTAAATAATATTATGGTTCTTTGATTAATCAATTTTTCTGTCCCAAATTAAATGTCTTATTATCTATTTACTTATAGGATTACATATGTTAATAACTTAGGAAGTTTCTTTCTTTACACTTTTCGATATTTTTAAAATATACTATAAAAAAGGTGCTTTGGACTTTCATTCAGTCTTCAAGATGTGCAAGTTTTTCAAAGGACTTAACTTACATACACTACAATATACAATAAATGTTCACCTATTAGTGTAATTCGAGTGTAATTCAATATATTGTAATAGGTTGTTGATCTATCATAGTTTTTAAGTAACTAATTTCACTTATTATATGGATAATTAATTATAGTTATTTTTTAAATTCAGTCTACATAAACTAATAGTGTAATTTTTTCCCGACATATGTGTAACTAATTTGTTATAGCCGGTCATAACTTACAATTTGTTCTAAGTTATCAATATTATTAAATTGAATTACTAGCTATTATCTTTTAAGTAACTTGATTGTGTAAATATTTTTTGATGCCGTACATACATAGAACTTAAATTCTGATCATTTAGGTAACCTGTAAAAATTCATGTATAAACAAGCTAAATTCTTTTCAAAAACTCTATCTCCAATGTTTGAACATTCTTTCATTCAAATATACCCTTTTAAAAACAAATTGAAAGAAGAGCCTTTTGTGTATTTTCAAACACTTTAAAAAAATAAAGGTAAGCTATTCGTGTGAAGTAAATAAACTCGTAAAATATAAGTTATATGCACACATAAGGTGACCTTTTTTTTAGGATCGCGGCAATGTTTTGGGATATACATAAACGGAAAAGTGACAAATGATACGGAATAGAAGGAGTAATAAAACTTAAATTCTTACCCGTAATAGTATTTGATACTCAAATTAAATCAGACATCTAAATTGGGATTGGTGGAGTACAATGAATATTACTTGCATATTGAACAGAATTGTCACATTCTTGTACCCAAGAAAAAGTAGTCACAACTCACATGGAGGGGAACAAAATGTTGATGAAAGAAAATGTAAGAGAATGATATTTTAATCATTTTAGATCAGATGTTAAAAGTATTACTATCTTGCACATTATCCAAATACATAAACGTTATGACAGGAAAATCTTCATAATTAAACTCCACTAATTCTACTAATATTCGAAATTTTACGATTTAGTAATTATTTTGGATAGTGTTAATGTGTAATATACTTTTCAAAAATAAAAGTTCTAATTTGACGTACATTGCAAATATACTGTAGTATACTTTATAAGAGTAAACCAAGTTTTCCTTCATTTCTTCCTCTGATCATGAACCTTCTATTTCTCATTTTCTTTTATGCGATTTCCGCAATTATTCGGTTTCTTGCCAACCCCAACTTGATATATATCGGAATTAATGTAAGAGAGAGACATATCTTAGTGACACATACATAGTCCTAAATGAATTTAGTTTGCTACTCCATCAATTTCAATAGCGTAATTGACCGCTTATGCACCCAAATTTAAGAAACAAATTAAAAACTTTAGAAACTTAATTGTATTCTTAAATAGTATGCCATTAAGGGTGTAACGAGAAGTTGAAAATTAAATTGGTTTCAAATTATAAAAAAGGTATATTATTTTGAAACGGATTAATAAACACGTAACTACGGTCTACGCATAAATTATTGGAACGAAAGAGTTTATGATGATAATTCACGTCAGCTGAGCAAACCAGGATGTCATCTATCACCTCGCTGATCTAAGGGCATTCATCGTATTAAGTTGACATCGGTCTTCTTTTTGGTCTCTCTGTCTCTTCTCTTATGTGGCCAGAAATCCTTAGCAATCTGATACTTCAAATTAGTACTACTATCATTTATTTGCTCCTCAACTCAATACCAGACTCCACTATTTTGCGGCAATGCATACACAGATCTCCACTCAATAATTAACTAAAATTGATTTTAATTAAATGCTGAAACGTTTGGTGAGTTAGTAATAATGAGATCCACACGTGCATGAAGTGTTGTGTAGAGTAGTATTAAAATTTTGATACTGAAGATGAAGGGCCCATTGAGGAATGGCTTTATACACATACACAGAGAGAGAGGAGAGGAAGAGAGTAGCTTTATTGGTAGGCCTATGTTGTCGGCCCTCTACATACCAAATGAATAAAGTTACTCATCTCTAACTTTATTTCTATGATTAAGAAAGCTAAAAAGCCCACACTTCTCACAAGATTGGCACGTGGGAGGTTGTACAGTGAGACCAAGTGCAAGACCCAGATCCTTAAGTTTACGGTATTTTGGTAGATGCGAAACATAAATTTATATATAAAATTTTACTAAAATTATGCTTAACAAATATTTCTGTGGATATAATCTCATAATTTTAACTATATAATAATAAATTCAATGATAAGAATTTTAAAAGTTGAACACATAAAACTTTAAATTCATAATCTATCTCTGACTCACCCCAAGGCGGATGTAGTGTTCCATCGACGGATTCAACTAAATCCATAATTTTCTACGCGGAGTGAAATTTATTAAAATTATAAAAATATATAGTAGATATAAATCCATAAAAATATAATAAGTTCAATACTAAAAATCTTAAAAATTGAACTCATAAGATTTAAATCCTGGATCCGGCCCGACCCCACCCGCGTCCACAACCACAACCCCCAATTGAAATGAAATGATGACTTTGATGATTTTGGGTTGTGGGGTGTGTGGATATTTTTGCAGAATCTATTGCTTGGAACCTTTATATGTGGGGCCGTTTTAGGCTCAGCCTCCATGTGGGTTAGGAGGATTTTTTTTGATCCTTAACCATGTGCTTACCCATCTTGGTTTCAATTTTGACTTACCCTAATCAAAAGCAGTACTATATTAGAATGGAATTATAGCCATTTCAAATCAAGCAAACTTATAAGTCCGAGAAAAAAAGGTTAGAAAGTATAAATAAATTTTCAAGCTGTAGCTTTGTTTTGGCTCTTTCACTCTTCACCTGGAATGGATTAGATTAGTTAGGGCCAATTATGCAGCATCAAGAGCAGAGTTTTAAAGAGCAAAGGTGGAGGGCGGTACATTTTACCTGCAATGGAGCAGGCATTAACCCCACTAAATTGAAAATTCTAAAAAAATATATATATAATAAAGATTATATCATTTTCAAAAGAAAAAAAGTATTGAGTTCCCCTTAAAAGACCGCGTTTTGTAATTTACATATCCTTTTTCAACTTGCAATAATTTGAACTACTTCTAGTCATCTCGAAATTATATAAATTCATGAAATATTCACAAAAAGATTAAAGACATCAAATATTGTCTTTCTCAAAGCCGTCGAAGTGATCAATGGATGTTCTTCCTTTTTATGGAGATCAAATACATCCCAAAGAAGTTCCAATCATCATACGTTCAAAAAATACGCTGTTTAAGTCCTCGAATCACGAAAAACGACCTGGAGAGAAGAATCAAGAGATAATAAACAAAACTGTACCCACGGAAATTCATCAATAAAATCTCTTCTTCTTTTAAAAAAACTACTTCTAATCCAAGATATAATGATTATTTTTGTTTATGTCGTTTATTATGTTGAGCTCATAAATTTGTCCGAGACATTGATCTTGAATGAATAATGATGCGTTAGGTATAACAAAGTGCAAGGACCTTGAGAAATCAAAGTGCCATTGTAGTTGTTGGAATTGTTGGAATAAAAGGAGAAATAGGCAAGATGAGGATAGAGAAATTGATAAATTAAAAATCAAGACAATTGAAAGTGGCCTTTCTAGGATAAGGAGTCAATCTTTTCATCCTTGTTTTGCTGAGTTGGGGACAGAAAAAGAAAAGAGAAAAGATGGTAGACTTTTCATGTGTTGCTATTATTATAATCTTGTGATTTTAGATAACGCCATCTTCCTTGAAAAGGCCATATGCCAAATTAAAGTACATTATATATTGTTTAAATAATAGTTTCCCATTAAACGCTTAGAGATAAAGAGCTCACTAATTAATAGACTGCATTTTAAAGTGGCCATGGCAGCAATGGGCAAACAAAAGGTGCAAAAGTTTGAAAGCAGGAATAATTCACGTCATTTGTGATAAGTTATACAAGTAGCTCGAGACCATCTTCCAATTCTCAAATTGTCTTTAATTCTATTTGTTTATAAACGGTTGGAATCGAAAATAACAAGACGTCATACGAAAGTTAACAAAGCAATTATGATAACGATAAATCAGACGACACAAAAAGGTATATTAAAAGAGACATAATACTTTAATGTAGTTTGATCAATTGACCTATATATGATAAAATTAATATAAGAGAAAAAGAAACTATATAGAGAAAAATTTCCTCCTAAACTAAGCTCTTTTAATGACTATATTGTGGATGCTATTGTGTTATGTGTAAAGGAGGGGTCCTCAATTTATAGAAGTGCGAAACTTCTCCTTCAAGAAAAGGACCTATTAAATATGGAAGAGAATTAAATTTTCCTTTCAGGAAAAGTAAAAGCAATTATGGTAATACTTTGACTTTCCTTTAAGA